TTTTTTTTTTTTTTTTTTTTTGGCCGGGGTGGGGGAAGGAGGGCGGAGGGCGGGCGCTCGCTGCGCGCTGGAGCGCGAAGCAGTGTCTCGCGTGGGCAGCGGAGGGCGCACGCCCAGGAGCGGGGCTGTAGAGGCTACAGGGGCTGGGGGTGGGGTTAGGAGCTACAGGAGTGCACTCTTACCCCCACCAACTCATCAAGTCTTCTGGAGTCTTGGCTGGGTCCCTCTGAGAGTGTGGGGTTATGTCCCCCTCCCCTTTCGGGGAGGGAGTGATAGACAGTCCCCCACCTCTCAGCCCGCCTGAGTGGGGACTGGTGTCTCTTCTAAAGGGTGAGGTGGCTTTGACCCCGGCTTGCCTGGCCAGCACGACCGAGGAGGTGGCTGGACGGCTGGAGAATGAACGGAGAAGCCGACTGCCCCACAGACCTGGAAATGGCCGCCCCTAAAGGCCAAGGTAGGAGCCCCACCCTCAGCCCTCTTTAACTTAAACGCTCCATTCTCACATAGGTCTGCGAGGCCCACTCCCCTTCTAAAAGTTTTCTCCTATTCGGGTTCACTGAACTGAAATGGGAGGAAGCCGCTTGACTGTCAGACACCCCTCACACTGGGTGTTTGGCTAAACCGAAATTATTTGGCTTTGAACCTACAAACTATTTTTCACACTCCATTTCCCCCCCAGGTTAGGGAGGAGGAGGCCTGTTCAAGTCTTCCTTCTGGGGTTCCCAGTCACCTCGAGTGTGTCCTCAGCAGTGTCCTGGAATGAGAGGAGAGACAAGGGATATGGGAGGAAGGGGGAGATAAGAGGGATTGGGAAGGCTTTTCAGGGTTGTTGTTGTTGTTTTTTTTAATTGTTATTAAGAGGGTATAGTTTTTGGTGAGGCAGGTTGGAGAGAAAGAGTGTTTTGATGGCTGGAGACCTCAAACATACTTAACTATACTCTACCCCATCCAGTGGGGATCCAGTTGTAGGGTGGCAGGGTGGGTAGGATGAATCTGAGCATCTGGCAATGCCTGTGGGGCACTGAGAGGAGACAGGATTATGGGTTCATGTGACCCTCCTGCAAAAACCCTGACCCAGGTGACCAAATGTGAATGCAAGAGCCCTTTTGACTCCTAGCCTTGGATAGCTATCATTCCTAGCTCACCTTCCCCAGTCGCCCCCTCCAGAGAGCCCTCAATGGAGCTGTGTTTCAGTGGCTGGAAATAGCTGGTCCAGACTCCTTTTTTTTCTTTTTTGCTTCCATGGGGGATTGGGCTGAGAAGGCAACTCAAAATTCTAGGGGTGGGGGTGGCCCTGGAGCAGGGCCCACCTTTTGCCCACCGGCTGGCTTTGCCTCATAGCTGCCTTGTATGGCTCTACCATTGTTTTACTTGCCCCAAAGTCTCCTTTGGTCCTTTCTGAGAGGATGGGATGGTGGAATACTCACGTCTCTAATGTTAGTCTCCATCTATGCTAGAGCAAAACATTGGCGTGGGTTTTCCTTACAGCCCACACCCCTGCCTCAGTCTGCACATTTAGGGTAGCCATGTAGAACTGGGACTGAATTTAGCTTCACGTTTAGGTGTGTGGCCTCCTTGTTTCCCTTTCTTCTGCAGTAAGCTAGCTGTTCTCCAACAGGGTCCCAAATCACTGTAGCTCCCTTCCCCTCCCCTCTTCCCTATGATAAATTGTAACCTGTGGCAGGCTGGCACGTTAGAAATGATAATAGCTTTGAAGTAAGCCAGACTTGAGTCCAAGTCTGGTTTTCTAGGCTTGATGTTGTCTGGACTGGAGTCCCTGCTCTAATCTGTATGGCCACAGCTTTTCCTTAGGGCCAGGCCATGTTTTGTCTGTGCCTTCAGATGGGAGATAACCATCTGAAGGGTCTGAGATGCTCTGAGAAGGGTTGAGTGCTTAAGGACTGGGACGGATTGAGGCTGGCATGAGCCAGGCATAATGGCCTTTCTTACCCTTCCCCAGACCGCTGGTCCCAGGAAGACATGTTGACTTTGCTGGAATGCATGAAGAACAACATTCCATCCAATGACAGCTCCAAGTTCAAAACCACCGAGTCACATATGGACTGGGAAAAAGTAGCATTTAAAGACTTTTCTGGAGACATGTGCAAGCTGAAATGGGTGGAGATTTCTAACGAGGTAATGGATTTCCCCCTCCCTCCCCAACACATTCGAACACACATCTCCACCTACCCTTGCTTCAACCTTCTTGGTTGGGGAGATGAAACAGAAGTCTATAAACAGGAAGGAAAGAGACCAGGCAAGGTGCTCGTGTGGTCGCCTTTGTGCATTTCGGGAGTTGGCACGGTTGACAGCACTGGCCAAGACTTCTCAGTTCTGCTACTTTCTAAGCTATGTGGTCTTGAATACTTACCGTCTTAGAGCATCTTAGAGCATCTGTCACCTGAGCTGTTCTGGGGATTGAATGAGGTGCTGACATGGACAACCATTTTGAGGTCAGGTGGTCACTTTGTTGCTCTCCTACGATATGTACCGACTGCCCGGATCTCTACAGTAAACATGGGCCAGTGCCTGGGTATCAGCGCAGCCTGAGCTGTGTCGCTCTTGACCCCAGCCCTTCTCCTTTGATAAACTTCAGTCTAGTGGAAAATAGAGAAGGCCTATTGGAAAGCGAGGCTACGCTCCTGGGTGGCATTCCCCTCTTCGGCGCTTCCCCTTACCCTCACCTTCTTTCTTCTTCCAGGTGAGAAAGTTCCGTACATTGACAGAATTGATCCTTGATGCTCAGGAACACGTTAAAAATCCTTACAAAGGCAAAAAACTCAAGGTGAGTTTCCAGGTGGAGGAGCACGAGAGTTCAGAGAAGCAAGGCCCAAAGAACAGTCTCACCTAGACCGTGTCCTTGTCCCTCCTTCCAGAAACACCCGGACTTCCCAAAGAAGCCCCTGACCCCTTATTTTCGCTTCTTCATGGAGAAGCGGGCCAAGTATGCTAAACTTCACCCGGAGATGAGTAACCTGGACCTGACCAAGATTCTGTCCAAGAAATACAAGGAACTGCCGGAGAAGAAGAAGGTGGGGGGCGGGGGGCTAAGGCATGGAGGGAAGAGGTGGGGAGAAGCTGGAATGGTGTAGGTTATCTGGCCGGGGGGGGGGGGGGGGGCAAGGGCTTAGACTGAGGGACCTGGAATCAGGGGCATGGGTGGGTCAGCAGAATAGAGTAGGGCCTTGGGGAGCCCACCTGATCATCGCCTCCTGGGCCCACACACCCTCAGGTGTGGGCACCGCTACAGACGTAACCATGACCAAGACAGACACCCATAACATTCTTTCACACGCATGTCCTCACTGTTAGGCCTCACAGCTGTTCACTTCTGACGTTTCCCCACATGGTCTCATTTGATGCTCATAGAGGTGACTCCAGGAGACTGAGTGGTCCAGATTTTGTGGTCAGAGGAACTGGGGTGCAGGAGGGCGTCGTGTCCCAGGACCATGGTTTAGTGCGCAGGCTCCCTGCCTAGCCGTCTTCTCTGGGCAGGTAACAGGCGCATCCCCAGGTTACATGGACTTCCTCCCCCTTACACACATTGTCCTTTGTGGCCCCGTGCTGTCCCAGATCGTCAAGCCCATTAACCTTGGGCAGAGGCTGCCCCAGCCTCCCAGGCAGGGGTGGACATGGTCAGCACAGTGAGGTCGTGTGGTCCTTGGGAGAAACAGGCAGCACAGCATCAGAGGAGCCTGCAGGTAGGACAAGAGCCAGAGGCGGTGGGCAGAGAGAGACGCACAGGAGATACTGTGCGGTGAGATGGAGCCAGGGAGAGATGCTAGTGAGGGGCAGCAGAAGAGACAAGAAGGCACACTCGCTGGAGAGGAGACAGTTGTAGGCAGCCGGCTCTCGGGAGGGCACCAGCCCTGGGAATAGCCCTTGTCCCAGTCTGCACACCCTGGCTTTGGGCTCACATAGCTTGGTCCTGTACCCAAAAAAGGAGCTCGCTTGACTGGGTCCATCCAGCTGTCTGCAGCTGCTGCCTGAACCAAGCCGGAGTACAAATCGCTGGAGCTATTCTTGACCCTTCCGATGGGGCCATTGCAGAGCTGACTGTATACATAACACCTAGACGTTCCCACAGGGTGAGAGGGAGAGGCAGAGGGTCTTAGGACCAGGGTGGGACAGAGGAAACTCCGAGGTCCAGTGGGCAGGGTGCCGGCCTAGGGGACACAGTGGGCCTGTTCCCCTGACTGCCACTGCATCGCCGTGTGTGTGCCCTTCGGTAAGTCGTTTCCATCCTCTGGGCCTGGTCTTGATCTGAGGCGTGGAGGGTGAACCTGATCTGGGTGCTGCCTTCTGGCTCTGAAAGCTGCCGTTTCTGTGAGAGGAGAGCTGAGACTGGAGTGAAGGAAGCAGGGCTCTGCTCTCGGTTTTTTTGTGGACACCTCAGAGGGAAGTAGAGCTGCCTAGCTTCTCGCACCTGATGAGAGGCAGAGGTTGGGCTCAAGCAGCATGTGTCCCTGGCCGCCTCCAGCGCTATTCTGGTTGTGAATCTGGGAAGAAGAGGGAGAAAGGAAAGCGGGACGTTGAGCTGGGGCAAGAAGGGGAGGTAGAGGAGGAAGGGAGAGACAGGCTGGAAAAGAAGTCCAAGAGGGAGGGGTGTGGGGAGGCAGGAAGGATGCAGGGATGGAGACGGGATGGTGGGAAGGGAAGACCAGGGTGAGAGAAGGAAGGGAAGCCAGGCCGGAGAGGAGAAGGACTGGGCTGGGGGAGGGAGGGCACAGGGAACCAAGAACCTGGAAGAAGGCATTGGAGGCAGGGAGAGTGGTCATGACAGGGTTGTGGCGGGGATGGCGTCAGGATTGCCAAGGACAACCAGGGACCCAAAGGCAGCAGGTGGGGGAAAAAAAATCCAGATTCAGGAGACAAGAATTCACTCGGCTGCGGTCAGTTAAGTCTCTCCTCAGTGCCTTAGAAATGGGACTCAGCCTGCCCCTGGCCCTGTGGGCCACCTGAGAGGGCACACTACTATTGGCTGCCACAGACAGAGAAGGAGCAAGTGACAGGCAAGGCCTACACCCTTCCCTGACTCCCTCACTGGGGGTTTCCTTGGTGTTGGGGAAAGGCAGAGGGGGGAGTATCTCGGGGAATCCCAGCACTGTCACTGCTTAGTGAGTGACTGGGTAATGCCACGTGTCCACCCCCGTCCTGGGACTCTCCCTTTCTTAAGGGAAGGGATGGGATGTGTCCTGGGAGACCTCCTTCCCCCCCCCCCACTCATGACATCCTCCATACACATCACCAACAGGGAAGCAAAATAGCTAGCAAGGAGGACTTGGTGGGGTTTGTGGCTCAGCTCTTGGGTCATGGATGACCCCATCGCCTCCTCCCCCCAGATGAAATATATTCAGGACTTCCAGAGGGAGAAACAGGAGTTCGAGCGAAACCTCGCCCGATTCAGGTAAGGCAGAGGAGGCCACAGGGTGCTGGGTGTGGCAGGAGAGGGGGGTCAGATCCTGGTGCTCACCACCCTTGAGGAATGGAAGATGGATGGGTCACCTGTAGACCCTAGTGGTTCAGGCTCAGGGGCAGGGACTGGCAGCTAACCGCTGGTCCACTTGGCCCCAGCTAATGGGCTAAGGAGCCTTAGCGAGGGGGCCAGCTAGCCGGGGTCTGCCCTGGCAGGACCCCCTCCCCCACCACTGACTGTCGCTCCCTGCGCCCTGGCTAGGGAGGATCACCCAGACCTAATCCAGAATGCCAAGAAGTCGGACATCCCCGAGAAGCCCAAAACCCCCCAGCAGCTGTGGTACACCCACGAGAAGAAGGTGTATCTCAAAGTGCGGCCAGATGTGAGTGTCCGGCCAAGGGGTGGTGGGGAGGGCGCACGGTGGTGGCAAGGGGGGAGCCGCGCCGGGTCGGCCGGGCACGGTGCCGGGGAGCAGGAGAGGAGGCCCCTCCCCAGGGGTGGGCTGCATGGACAGGGCCTGGGCCAGCTGGCGTGTGAGTGCGTGTGTGTGCGTGTGCGAGCCTGTCCCCTTGCACCCAGGCGGGACTCTCCGCCTCTCTGCCTTCCCCTCCTGGCCCGTGGGGGACACTCGCGTGACCTCCTGTGGCCTGAGGGGGCGGGGGCCTCTGTGTCCCCCTCCCCTTCCCCTCCCCCCTCCCCCTGGCTGCCTGCGTGTGTCTGACGGCTTTTGGTTTGCAGGCCACTACGAAGGAGGTGAAGGACTCCCTGGGGAAGCAGTGGTCTCAGCTCTCGGACAAAAAGAGGCTGAAATGGATTCATAAGGCCCTGGAGCAGCGGAAGGAGTACGAGGTTAGGCTTCCGCTGCGCTCCTCCCCGTCCGGCTCTTCACGAGCCTCTGCCCTCTGACTCTGCGGCCTCCGCACTCTGCGGGAGGCGGTCACTGCCCCTCTCGTCACTGAGGGAGGGGCCTTCTGGGCCCCTCACCTCTGCCCTTACCTTCCCCGCCCCACCCCCCCCATGAGATCTCAGGCTAGGGCAGGGCAGGGCACCACGTCTTGTGTGACACAGCAGATGCACGGCCACCCCCCAGCTTGGCTCCCTGCCTCCCTTCCCCAGCGGCTCTCCCCCACCCCCCCGGCCCCGGCTAACCCCACACCCCGTTGCCCTCCGTCCCCCTCCCACCTCACTCTGCAGGAGATTATGCGTGACTATATCCAGAAGCACCCCGAGCTCAACATCAGTGAGGAGGGCATCACCAAGTCCACCCTCACCAAGGCCGAACGCCAGCTCAAGGACAAGTTTGATGGGCGACCCACCAAGCCACCTCCGTGAGCGCTGCCCTGGGGTTGGGGGATGGGGGAGCGAGCCGGCAGGCAGCTAGGGAGCCGGGCTGATGAAGGACCTCGGCCCTGGCTCTGCAAGTAAGGAGGCCGCTGCCCTGGGCCTCCCCCGTCATTCACAGGCACGCTCTTCCCTTGCTGCCGGTTGTGACAGGAACAGCTACTCGCTGTATTGCGCAGAGCTGATGGCCAACATGAAGGACGTGCCCAGCACAGAGCGCATGGTGCTATGCAGCCAGCAGTGGAAGCTGCTCTCCCAGAAGGAGAAGGACGCCTACCACAAGAAGTGCGACCAGGTGCGCTGGGGCAGGAGGCAGCCCTGGGGCAGGGGGACTCCGGGAGAACCTTGGGGTTGTGCAGCACGAAGCCTGACCCTGGGCCCTTGCTTTCCACGCGGTGGTGTGCTCGGTTTAGCGTCTGTGCTGCTTAAGGCAGGTCTCGGGGCTCATGCCTGCCAGCTGTGGAGGGAGACTGGGCCTGGCCGGGCTCTGGACGGTTTGCTGAGAGGCTACTGTTTGTCCCTGGAGCATAGGAGGTCTCCAGCGAGGCTGCCCCCGACTGACCTTGACTCCCCTTCCTTTCCCAGAAAAAGAAGGATTATGAGGTGGACCTGCTCCGTTTTCTAGAGGTAAGTGTTCCTTCGGGGAGGGCAGTAGGCAGAGAGAGGGCAGGGGGTGGTTGGTGAGCAAGGCCCCTAGGACAACACAGACACAGCCTGGGGACTACACATTCAACCCCGTGCTGCCTCCTCTTTTTCCCTGATCAGAGCCTGCCTGAAGAGGAGCAGCAGCGGGTCCTGGGGGAAGAGAAGATGTTGAACATCAACAAGAAGCAAGCCACCAGCCCAGCCTCCAAGAAGCCCTCCCAGGAAGCGGGCAAGGTGGGCAGGGGACATGACCAAACAGCAGGTGGGGTGGTAGGGAAGAGGCGGGGCTCCCCGTGAGCACCCCGTGGACCCCGACCCTCTTTGCACATCTACAAGGGCGGCTCGGAGAAGCCCAAGAGGCCCGTGTCAGCCATGTTCATCTTCTCGGAAGAGAAGCGGCGGCAGCTGCAGGAGGAGCGGCCCGAGCTCTCAGAGAGCGAGCTGACCCGCCTGCTGGCCCGCATGTGGAATGACCTGTCGGAGAAGAAAAAGGTCAGGCTCGCCAGACCAGAGGGGGCTGCCAGGCAGAGTCTGGGCCGCTTCTCCCCTGGGGGCTAGCTGCACTTCCTCAGCCTGCCCCGGGTGTGTGTGTGAGGTGTGAGCCACACAGCGGCCTGAGCGCAGATGGTGGGGCTGGGAACCCAGCGAGCCGGAAGGCGGGAAGCTGTCAGCTGTGGGCTGTGGGCTCCCTGGGGAGCAGGGCCGCTGGCGGCTTGAGCCCCTGGCTGGAGACATCTGCACCAGCCCACGCCTCCGCTCGCCCCACCCCACCCCACCCTTGCCGTTGGTGGCGGCTGCTGGTGGCGGCTGCGGGGAGAACCTTCCATTGCAGGACGGGCCGTGCGCGCCCCCTGGGGGTGGTCGGAAGGCTGACGCCTTTGCTGTCCCTCCGCAGGCCAAGTACAAGGCCCGGGAGGCGGCGCTGAAGGCCCAGTCGGAGAGGAAGCCGGGCAAGTTGCCGGAGTCGCCCAAGAGAGCCGAGGAGATCTGGCAACAGAGTGTCATCGGCGACTATCTGGCCCGCTTCAAGGTAGCAGGCAGTGGGAAAGAGGTCTTCCTTTTCTTTCTTTCTGGATCAGTAGTTGCTTTACCATAAATCTCTTCAGAAAGGGGTTGTTCTGCTACTGCCCACACGGTGAGCAGCCCCAGGTGACGCCTCCCACTTCTGACACCCTTCTCTGTCCCCAGAATGACCGGGAGAAGGCCTTGAAAGCCATGGAGATGACTTGGAACAACATGGAAAAGAAGGAGAAACTGATGTGGATTAAGAAGGCAGCCGAAGACCAAAAGCGATACGAGGTGGGAAAGGGGCTTCTGGTTAGCTCAGTGGGGCAGGATGGAGCTGGGGCCACCTCCCCCCACTTAAAAACTCAGGAGCACCCTCTCGGGTGGGCGGCTTTCCTTACTGTGTGGGACTTGGAGCCAGAAGTCCCGGCTTGGGTTGTGTGACCCTGAGTAAGTCTCTTAACTTCCTTCTCTGAGCCTCAGTCTTGTATCAGTAAAATGAGGGTGAGGATACCAATCACGTGAGTGCAATTATGAAAGCACTTTCAGACGGCAGGACCTACCCGACGAAGGCCTGAGTTGTTAGGAAGTTGCTCCCTAGCTGTGCCTCAGTTTCTCCTTCTTCCTGGCACTTAAAAGGAGAGTCAGCTAGGGACTGCAGGTATGGGGCAGGAGAGAGGATAAGTGACCTTTCTGGATGTCCTCATAGAGAGAGCTGAGTGAGAGGCGGGCACCCCCGGCTGCTGCAAACTCCTCCAAGAAGATGAAATTCCAGGGAGAACCCAAGAAACCTCCCATGTGAGTCTGGGGGCTAGAGTCCATCCTCGGGGTGGGGAGGGTGAGGGTGGAGGGGCTGCTTGGTTGGTGTCCTGACCCTCCTGTGACACCCACACCTCCCAGGAATGGTTATCAGAAGTTCTCCCAGGAGCTGCTGTCCAACGGGCAACTGAACCACCTGCCGCTGAAGGAGCGCATGGTGGAGATTGGCAGCCGCTGGCACCGCATCTCTCAGAGCCAGAAGGAGCACTACAAGAAGCAGGCCGAGGAGCAGCAGAAACAGTACAAAGTGAACCTGGACCTCTGGGTCAAGGTGAGAGGGCAGGGGACCCTAGGAAGCATCATGCTGGCTGGTCTGCATTCATGATTTCATTCAGTGTCCCAGCAGAGATAAGGAAACTGAGGCTCAGAGAGGTGAAGTAACTTAGCCCAGGTCACACAGCCAGGGAGTAGGATGATCCAAATCAGACTGCCTTTTCCGCCCTCCAGCTGGGACCAGGGGATGTCTCCAAGACTCTGGCTCAGCCCCTAGCCTCTGAGCTCCCCTTCTGTGCCTTGCTTAAGCAGTCAGATCTGTAAAGTGGGGAGAGTCACCGATGTCCTCCCCAGCCACCCAGCTGGGTTGGCCAAGGTCCCAGGGGAAATAGCAGGGTTTAAGGGTTCCAGACATTTGGTGAGCCCCAGATTGCCTTGGCAGAGCCCAGTGGCTCTGGGCTTGGCTTCTGGGGAGAAGTGATTAAGCCACGCTATGGCAGTCATCTGGGGGCGCTTCTCTGAGTTGAGGAAGGCCCTGACTCTGGAGCCTCTATTTGGATAGAGCACAGGACAGACATGAAAACAAACAGTCTTGGGATGGGGTAGCTTAGAATAGGCTTTGGAGCATCTTAAGCAGAAATACTGAGCTGTGTTCTCAGGTCCTTAGGGTTCTCTGCAGAGACCCAAGGAGACTGGGACGGGTGCAGGTGGCATGATGGTCAGAGCTGAGCCCACTGCCTGGCGCTTGACCAGTGTGCTCAGTCAGCAGTAGTTTGGGTCATGTTCCTGCCCTCACCTCCTCCTCTGTCTCCCCCAGAGTCTGTCTCCCCAGGAACGTGCAGCATATAAAGAGTACATCTCTAATGTGAGTCTGGGAGCAGGGTGCTGTTGGGATAAGGAGGGAATTTGTGGCGGGGGTGGGGGCTAGGGGGTTGCTCCCTGGTGGCTCAGATGGTAAAGAATCCGCCTGCAATTTGGGAGGTCTGGGTTTGATCCCTGGGTTGGGAAGATCCCCTGAAAAAGGCAATGGCTACCCACTCCATTATTCTGGACTGGAGAATCCCATGGACAGAGGAGCCCAAGTCCATGGGGTCACAAAGAGTCGGACACGACTTTCACTTTCTGGGGGGAGCAGCATAGAACTCCTGGCTACTCCCTTTGCCCATGTCCCCATCCCCTCCTACAGAAACGTAAGAACATGACCAAGCTGCGAGGCCCGAACCCCAAGTCCAGCCGGACTGCCCTGCAATCTAAGTCGGTAAGGAGCCCCTCCCAGGAGGGGCTGGGGTGGGGGTGTTCGAGGTGCCTGGAGTGGCATAGCAGGGACCACTGATGTGCTTCCATCCCTCCCAGGAGTCTGAGGATGAAGATGAAGAGGATGAGGATGAAGACGAAGAGGATGATGAGGAGGAAGATGATGAGAACGGGGACTCCTCTGAGGATGGTGGGGACTCCTCTGAGTCCAGCAGCGAGGATGAGAGCGAGGATGGAGATGAGGTGGGGTGGATGGGGCATGGCAGAGAGGGTGGGGGGGCGTGCTGCCAGGACGGCCCCCTGGTGACTGCACTTTCCTTGTCTCCCAGAATGAGGAGGACGATGAGGATGAGGATGACGACGAGGACGATGACGAGGATGAGGACAACGAATCCGAGGGCAGCAGCTCCAGCTCCTCCTCCTCGGGGGACTCCTCGGACTCTGACTCCAACTGAGGCTCAGCCCTACCTGGGGCTCCCCTCCCCGACTGATCACCTTTGTTTCTCCCCCATGTTCTGTCCCCTGCCCCTTGGCCTCCCCCACTTTCTTTCTTTCTTTCTTTCTTTTTTTTAAAAAAAAAAAAACAAAACACGGTGGGGGGGAGGTAGGCGCTGGAGGCGCCCAGGCCAGAACTCTGCGGCCTCAGAGACATCAGCCCTGGGGGGCCCTCCAGGGAGCGTACCCATCAGACTGAGCCACCACCGGACTGGCCCAGCCCACCCCTCTTCTGCACTTGCGGTTTCCGGCATGGACAATGGACCCGGGAGTGGGACGGGGGTCCCAAAGAGTTCAGTGAGGCCCCCTACACCTGCAGCCCGACTCAAGGCAGGGTGGAAGCTTGAGGAAGACCCCTTTCTTTCCAGAGGGGCTTGCAGCCTGGACCCCTACATTGGAACTGGAGGCAGGGAACATGGGAGAGGAGGGTGGGCGCCTATGAGAAATAGGCCTTGCCCCATGGCCCTCTTCTTCCCTGCCCCCTGCGGGAAGGAGCTGCCTGGACCCACTTACGGGGGCGGGGGGGAGGGGGCAGAAGTGTTTTTTATATATGTGTATATATTTTTTTTTTAAGCTCTGAGCTGTCAACGAGACGTTTCCTACCGATCTCGGCTGCCGTCTCTGTTGTCATTTCTGGGAGAGGGAGGGTTTAGAGGGTAGGTTTGGGGCTTTTTAAAAACGGTCTTGACGTGTATGGAGAAGTGTGTGTGCGTGCGCGTGTGGGCATGTGTGTGTGCGTGTGGCCTGTACATAGCGTGGGTGCACCTGTGGATGTGTGCAAAGGCACGTGTATCTGTGCGTGTAAGAGAATGTAAAAGGGTTTGAGGGTTATGGAGACACTGCCCCTGGTGGGGATGGGTTGGCGTGGCCCTTTTCTCCATATCTTCTGCTTTGCCTGATCTCTGATTCAGTTCGGGGTACTGAAGCCACTCTGGTGCTTCCTCTGCTGGTTTCCCTCAGCCAGGGCCACTGGCGCTACTGCTAGTCTCCAGTATCCATCAGGACAGTGGGGAGGGGGACAGGCCAGGTGAACCTTAAATATTGGATTTGGTGGGAAAGGCCTCTCCAGCTCATCTGAGGGGTCACCCAGCCACTGTCAGCTCTGAACCTGGGCTTCAAGAGATGTGTTGGAAGCTCTTAACTTATACACCCCTCCTGCCTCCCCCGCATATCCTCCAGCTACCCCACCCCCATTTCCTTTGATTTCTCAGGTCAGCTCCCTTCCCTACCCCATCTCTCCAAACCCACAGCTGAGGGAGAGGTCTGCAAAAGCTGCTTTGACAGCTGTTCTAACCCTTCCCAGCCATCCCCCAGATTTTGGAACCCTGATTCCTACTCTCAAAAAGCCAAGCCACCTCGTCTCTGTGGGTTTAATTTTTGTTGTTGCTTTTGATCACAAAATGTTTAAACAATCATGTCAGTGACCTATTTAATTGGGGGTTTGTGCTTTTCCACCCTCCCCCTCTGAACGAAAGGCAAGAGGGAAGAACTCTTGTCTGGGAGGTGTGGTGGGAAAGGTGGGTCCTGCTCACAGAGGAAGGCAGATAGATAATCTGCTTTGCCTCCGATGTGGTGCTGGGGGTGGGAGGAGCTAGTGGGGAATACTCCCTACTCCCCACTCCCCTTTCTTTCTCCTGCTCCTGGAATTAGGTACAGGGGTTCGTAGGTTCTATTTCTTCCCAAGAGCCCCTGCAGAGAGCCCCATTTCCCTGTTCCTGCAGAGTGCCCCTGCGCTGTTGTGTTTTAGTGGAATGTGTTTTTCATTTAAAAACAACTTTGAATGGGGCACTTCCCCCCCCCCCCCCCCGTTTTAAAAATTGACAAATTCTTACAGTACAAACAGGGCTGTGGGGGTGGGGGTGTGGGTGCTGTAAGAGGTCACTCTGAGTGCATTTTGGCACTGGGGTGGGAGGATCCCTGCTCTTCCCCCCACCACCCCGTTTTTTTCTAATATTTAAGAAGTGTTTTTGTAGGTTTCAACAACAACCACAACTTGAATTTGTATCATGGGAGGTGGGAGGGAATGGCTTAGAGGTGTCTGCCTAAGCTTAAGGCCAACTGTGGAAGTTTTGTTTTCCCTTTTTTTGTACAATAAAGTAAAAACACAAAGATTTGACTGCTGTCTGATCAATGGACTCAGTAAGTGGGAGTGGTGGCAGAGGTGACCCAACAGGCTCAGTGTGGTAAGACCCTTGAAGGCAACTTGTTTGCCTCTTCTTTCTAGAACCATCTTCCTCATTCCTGAAGGCTCCATAGCAACCTACTTTCACATTGTTTTGTGCTACTGTTCTTGCACTTTCTCACTTCAGTTTGTTAACTTAGGTGGTTAGACCACTAAGGACTGAGAATTTGGAAAACAAATTTTCTCCCAGCATGCACTGCCTTGAAAAATGGAGGTGATGAACCATTAGGGTCAGGGGTTCACCCTGGTCATGCAAGGGCTTATCATTGAGCCCTCAGCCTCACCAGGGTGAGGAAAGACTTTCCTAAATGACCCAGACCTCTGATGGGAAGTGGGCTGGGCCAAGATGACTCACTCTCTGAGGTTAAGGAAGACAGCCTTCCCTCCACAGGCCTTGGCTGGATTCCCAGAACCACCAAGGGCTAAAGACCCAGGCCCATTGAAGACCTTTCCCTTTACCCCACACCCCTCTCTCACTCTTTGCCAAACTTCTGAAAAGCTCCTTGCCCCTCATGGCGTTCTATTTCCTCACCTTCCATTCACTATTCCCCTGAGGAGAATATGTTCATAATTACACCCAGTGGACACTTACATGTCTCTTGACTTCTTGGTCTACTCTGCTGGCATTGGCTCCTCCTCCTCATTCTATCACAGGTGTTCAAGTCAAGTCACTCTATGAATTTCCAGTTATCACCCATAGTAACCATTCCAAAAAGTGGCCTCTATAGAGATGTCTCTTCGAAGCTGCAGACCAGTACAGACTTCAGTGTATCCTCTGGGATATCCTGCAAAGCAGATATCCTCTGGGATATCTTGCAGGTACCTCAAGACCCCAGATTAGCACTAAACATCTACTCATTAGTATCAGCCTTAACTCTTCTCCCTATTTCATCTCTCAGTGAAGGGAGGTGAAATTTGCTCACCGAGACCTGTTTGTTCCACTTCTTGTCTCTCTCAAATCTGTCAAACCTGCTTACATCCCCATCCTATTCAAGGCCATCACCATTGCTCATCCTCTGCAAAAACCTAAAACTCATCTTCCTGCTTGCATTCTTGCCCCCTACAGTCCATTCTGCACACAGCAACCAGAGCTATCATTTAAAAACAAATTGCTAACTTCTGCACTTCTAACTTGCCTTGTCTTACCATGACCCTTCAAGGCCTGGCCTCTGTTTTCCCTCTCCCTTCCCTCACTCCACTCTCCCTAATCACTCACAAGGATCCAACCAAGGGATATGTCTTTCGCTGCTCAAACATACCTACAAGACCTTTGGATTTGCTCTCTCTGCCCAAAATGCCATTCCCCCAACACTACAGATAGTTTGTTTTTTTCATCCTTCAGACTTAGGCTCAAATGTCACCTCACAAGCCTTTCCTGACCACCCTCTCTAGAGGGGCCTTCTCCTACGTCCCCTTGTTTCTGTATTTGTTTACCTGTTCACTGTCTATCTCCCCAAACCAACACATTCAGTTTGAGATATGTTGGAGTTATGATGGGATTAGCTGGTGGAGACAACTTATGTGTTCATTCATTATAGTAATCCCAGAACCTATTCCCAGGTAGCTCAGTGGTTTAAAAAAAAAAATCCGCCTGCCAATACAAGAGATGCAGCAGATACAGGTTTGATCCTTGGGTCAGGATGATCACCTGGAGGACGAAATGGCAACCCACTCCAGTATTCTTGCCTGGACAGAGGACGATGGCAGGCTACAGTCTGTGGGGTCACAAAGAGTCGGACACAACTGAGCGACTGAGCATACATAACATACATTTGACAAATCAAGAAATGTTCATTAGGGGACTTTCCTAGAGGTCCAGTGGTTAAGACTTCTAACACAGGGGGCCTGGTTCAATCTCTGATCAGGGAACTAGATCCCACATGCTGCAACAAAGATTTCAAATGCTGCAACTAAAAGGTCCCACATGCCACAATTAAGACCTAGTGTAGGCAAATAAACAAAAATATTTTTAAAAAAGATCCCGCATGCTGTGCAATACAGCCAAGGGAATAAGAATGACCCATAATAATGTCATATATATATATACATATATATATATATATATGTATTGTATATTATATATAGCCTCTTTTTGCCAAGTCTAATTGCACAAACCATCCCAGACTCAAACACACCACACTCTTCTCAGGCCTCTACACATTCTGCCTATATACATAACTGTTCCCTAGAATGCTCCTCTTAACCTCTCTTTCTAGTTAATTCAAGGCTCCACTTGAAAGATCACTTCCTCTAGGGAGCCTGCCCTGACGTCCTGACAAAAAGATTTCTACTCATTTGTTTCTTTGGCTGCCTGAATGCCTCCACATTGAACGTTTTTTCCACATCAGGCTTTGCTGGGTGGTAAGCTCCACTAAGACAAGGTCTGTGTGTCTCTCTGGCTTGCTGCTGTAACCCCAAGGCCTCACCCAGAGCCTGGACCAGTGTAGTCCTTAGTGTTTATTGACTGGTGCTAACTGTGGAGACCGGGCACGTGCCCAAAGAGGTCACCACCACAGAACCACTCAGGCCAAGTGCCAAATGAAGAGTACAATCCAGTTTTAAAGGAGTTTGTTTTGACGGTGGCCTGGGTGGAGAAGTGAGGAAGGATTTAGGTAAACAGGGAGGAGACAGGAAGGCTTCCTGGGCATATGTAAATTCTTAAGGCAGGGTATATTGGACATATTCTGAGACCAAGAAACAGATCAGTATCGTCGGAGGATTTCTGATTCACACTAAGACACTTGAAGTACTGGCCTCCTTCTTGGCTCTAGACTCAAATTCAAATACCTTCTGAGAGTCTCCACCAGCTAATCCCACAGTATAACTCCCAACGAATCTCAAACAGTGAGAACTCATCATTCTCCTGTATCCTCACATTGCCCTTCCAGAGTTCCCCATCTTGGTTAACAATGTCTTCAGGCCCTCTCTCTCCTTCACCCCACACATCTCAAGCTATGACAAAAACCTACTATTTTTAAGCTATCCAGACTCCCCACTCCAGAGCATCTGCTTAAGTTTGGTCAAACAGTTCCCCTTGAGGACTTCTGACAGCCTCTAGGGTTAAATCCCACTAACTTCTCAGCACACCCTTAGTCCTGTGTGGTCTGTTCTGCTTACTTCCTCACCAATTCCTATGTTTCAGCCAGTGCAAGAAACCTTTCCTAAGAAACTCTTTTACATCATTTGATTCCTCCTCCTAGCCACCTCTGTCCCCTATGGTGTTTGTTTGTTTTTTTTGCCAAGCCACACAGTGTATTTGATCTTAGTTCCCCAACGAGGGAGGGATCAAACCTGTGGCCCCTGCAGTGGAAGCATAGTCTTAACCACTGGTTGGCCAGGAAAGTCCCTAGCTCTCTTATTTTTATCACACTGTTGGGCAATTACTTTCCTACAGGTCTGTCTACCCCACAAATTGTGAACTTCTTGAGGAAGTGTGTCTTATCTTTACATTAACACACAAAAACAGCTAAGATTCACCAAACACTTACATTGAACTAAGTTTCTCATGTACTGACTTGTCAATTCCCACAACCTAATAAGTACTGTCATCATACTCAGTGACAAGAGAGAAAAGCGAGGCAACAGAGAGCTCATTTGCTCAAGTTCATTTGTCAAGTCCACAGATTTGAATTCAGATGATTCCTGGTCTTAACCACTTAGGACCAGGGCCTCAATAAATGCTTGCCGAAGATTAAAGAGTCAATGATGGTCCCAAAGCAAAGATTTAACGCTTTCTTCATTTAAACTCATCTTCTGCGGGAAGAGGGCTGTCATACACCCGTTCCAGGACTCCAGACACAGAGTAACCGAAACGGTAGCGCCAGTCTAGGCATCTACTGCGGCTGGGAAAGGCCCTTTGCTCCAGAAGAGGGACTGTGAGAGCGCGCGGATATGGGTACACACAGGGGAGAAGAACTGGGTCGGAGGAAGGGTCTGGCCACTGCCTGGCAGGCTGCAGAGAGGAGAGGTGGGGGGTCCAGCGTGGGTTCCGGAAGCAGGAAAGGCGAGCAGGTGTGGGATCTAAATTAGGATGAGGGCGGGGAGGGCACTCCGCTCAGAATGGCACAGTTCAGCCTCCGCCCTCAGCGGAGGACCCTCATCTAGGGCGTCTGTTGGTTCTGAGGCCCGGAGTGGGCTGAGATCAGCCCAGAAACACGGGGAACCTAGGCTCGGACGAGGCCCCTCGGTTTTCTGCCCTGAGGTGATAACTGCGTCCCACTTCAACTCTGGCTTCTCCACATAAGTAAACTCCGGGGTGGTGGCGCTGGGGGTAAAAGAGCCGGGAGCCCGGAGGGAAGGGCGGGGGAGCCTGGGCCGGAAGGCGTCCCAGGCGCGGCTGGAAGCCGGCGCTCTCTTTCGACGCCACCCGCTGCCCCCGCCCCGGAGCCGGCCGGGACGGCACAACGTCTCCGCCCCCAGCGCACCGCGCACCTCACCTTGAACGCCGCTCCACCCACCGAAATCCTATTGGGCCGGCCGGGCCTAGGCAAGACGGCGATTGGCCGAGGTGGCTCCCGAAGGCCCCGCCCATATCCCCGCCCCCGTCCCCGTCCGCCGGTACTTTGGACGGCGGCGTGGCGCCCCTCCTCCCCGCCCGGTCCCCGCCCCCTGGAGCAAATGCTGCCGAGCTGCGGCCGCCGGGCAGATGCACGCGCTCGGGCCCTTCTAGCAGGCGCGAGCAGTCGCTGGGCGCGCGAAAGCGAAAGAAGGAAGAGGAAGGGAGGGCGGGGGCGGGGTGTTGAGGAGGGGCGGGAGGAGGAAGAGGAGGAGGTTGGAGCGCGCTCGCGCTTGGCCTCGCGCCCGCGCGAAGGGAGGGGGAGAGGGGCGCGCGCGCGCACGCTCGCGTTCTCGCTCGCTCCATCCATCCATCCTCCGGTCGCGGCACGCGCGCGCGCTCCGGGCTCGCGCCGCACCCCCCGCCCGGGAGAGGCGGGCTGTGGGGCCCGAGGCGGGGCTTGGGCCCCCTCCCCCCAGGTCTGGGTCAGCGCCCCTTCCCCTCCCCCCGGGCCGACGCGGAAACGCCCGGCTTCCCCCGGCTTCCCGGCCCGGCCGGGGCCCCTAGCTCTCCCCCTGTCTGGGTCCCCCCTGGGCGGGGCAGGGCCGGCCGGGGAGGGGGCGCGGGGCCTTTGTTAGGGAGCCAGGCCCCAGCCCCCGGGACAATAGAGACACCCTCCCGGACTCCTCTCCCCGGCCGGCCGGGGCTGTCGGCGGGCGGGGAAGAAGAGGGGCCGGGACGTGTCCCACTCTGCCCACTCTCTAGGGGTCGGTCTGTCCCGGACCGGCGCCGGCCTCCGGCGACTCGGCTGTCCTCCCCCCAGTCGGTATGATGCAGCAGCAGTGCCGCAGGGACGGGGGAAGAGCCGAGGCCCGGCCTCCTACCCTCCCCAGTGCCCCCGGCTCGTTTGTCAGTCCCCACCCCACTCTAGGCCGGCAGCTCCTTAAACTCGTACCCACCGTTCAGAGGGGCCCCGGACTGTGTGCTCTGTTTCTGAATCCTTTGGTGGGGATTCCTGGACTTTGGGGCTCTTGGAGAGACTTCCGGGCTGGTCCTGAGGGAGGGAGGGTGGTTATCTCAAAGAAGAACAGGTAAGGGGAGTGCCCACTCCTGGCATGCCATCCACCAGATTCTACCTCCTCTTTCTTGCTCATGGTGGCTAGGATGCCCTTTTAGCTCTAGGTTTCTGTGGGCTCTGCTCTCCGTCTGCAGTGGCAGGCTTATTTCAAGGGAAGACAGAGTGGGGTGAAGGTTGTAGGGTCCTAGGGCCATTCTTACTTCTGGTAGCAGTACCCCCCCAAGTGGACATCCTGGCTGAAAGCAGAGGTGACTCTGAGGAGAGCCTGGAAGGGGGGGGGGAGTGTATTTAGGAGTCTGTGCAGTTCTTTGCCACACCCTGTGGGTTTGCTTTGAGGCCTTAGAGTTCCTTCTCCTCCCCCTGCTGCATTGCACCATGGGTATGGAAGAGGGGTTTGAGTTTTGGGAACCTGGGGTGAGCTGCTGCCTCCTGTAGACCCAGACTCTGATTGGCAGTAAGAGTCCAGGGCCTGAGTTCAGGCCTGGGAAGGACTAGGCCACCCTTGGGTTTCAGGCCCTGCAGGACCATCCAGACTTAACTGAGGCCTTAGGGAGAGGTAGATCCTGATGCCACCATTAAGCTCTGGGCAGCGAGGTGCGATGGGGAGGTGGCAGCCATTGGAGGTGCCTTGGACTCACACCAACATCCCCCCCCCATGTGTGCAGCCGTGTTGCCGCCCGCTGTGCTATGAGCAGTCAGAGCACCGTCTCCACAAGAGTTCACAAATGAAAATGGAGGAAATGTCTTTGTCTGGCCTGGATAACAGCAAATTAGAGGTGAGGGCTCCCCCACGTGTGCCTCCAGTTCTTTCTCTTGATGTCTCTTCTTCGCTATATCTGGCATCCACACCAGAGAGGAATTTGGGTAGTCAGCCTTGTTCTTTAAAGGGAAGAGCCAGTTAAGAAGGCCCAAGGATCCAGAAGAAGAAAGAACTCAAAGTCAAGATGGGGAAAAATGGCAAAGGAAGCTTTATTTTTGGCCAGAGCGAATTGGCAGGAGATTTGGTTGGTGAGAGTTGCCCTCTGTCCATGGGACTGTGACTCTCGTGACCCTGGATGTTCTCCCCTGGGCCCAGGCCATCGCTCAGGAGATATACGCGGACCTGGTCGAGGATTCTTGTTTGGGATTCTGCTTTGAGGTACACCGGGCTGTCAAGTGTGGCTACTTCTTCCTGGACGACACGGACCCTGAGAGCATGAAGGATTTTGGTGAGCGTCAGGGTTGAAGGAGAGCAGCCTAGCCCTGCCCTGGGAGTGCTTGGAGGGTCCTCCTCCAGCAGCCACACCAGAGGTAGAACCTGGAGCTCCTGGGAGCTTAGGCAGGGGCTCTGAAGAGGCCACAGGGCTGTGGGTGGTAATGAGAGGTGAGCATCCCTTGCCTGCCCTGATCGCTACGTCTCTCCTGTCCCCAGAGATCGTGGACCAGCCGGGTTTGGACATCTTTGGACAGGTTTTCAACCAGTGGAAGAGCAAGGAGTGTGTTTGCCCCAATTGCAGCCGCAGCATTGCCGCCTCTCGTTTTGCTCCCCACCTGGAGAAGTGCCTAGGAATGGGTCGGAACAGCAGCCGAATCGCCAACCGCCGGTGAGGGCTTCTCCTCCTGCTAGAACCAGAGTGCCCATCTTTCACAGCCCATCCCATGGTGGACATCCCCCCCGCCCCGGGACATTTGGAGGATATAGAGGGTGGGTCGTGCCTGGCCCCAGACGCTCCCCTGTATGTCTGAAGTCAGGGGCAGAGAGAGATGGCAGCCTTGACCCTTCCTTTTCCCTCTTGGCAGGATTGCCAATAGCAACAACATGAACAAGTCAGAGAGTGACCAAGAGGATAATGATGACATCAATGACAACGACTGGTCCTATGGCTCAGAGAAGAAAGGTGTTTGGGCATCTGGGGAATTGGGAGGGCCATCAGGGTGAGGCAGGCATACAGGAATTGGGTGTGTAACAGTCACAAGTTGTTATCCTGAATGAGGGAGGAGAGTGTAGCTTTGTAACTTTTCTTTAGGTGCCCTTAGATTGGGAACTTAAAGTGACCCTGCCCTTTACCCTTTTGTCCTACACAGCCAAGAAGAGAAAATCAGACAAGGTGAGAGCCGGGGCAAGCATGAGGGAGATTTGGGCCAAGGACAGATACCCTCCCCTTTGGGCAGGGAGTCCTCGGGTGTCTTGACTCAAGTCTGAGGTCACTGGGTACCTCTCTGGGTTCAGGGCTAAGGGTGTCTGGTGGGCAGGAGGGCAGCAGATGGGGAGGAGGGAGTATGGGTGAAGGGCCTCTTACTGGTGGGGAAGAGTAGGAATTTGAGGATGTTTCTTTGTCAAATCTTTTTTCCTTCCCTGGGTTCTCGGCTCCCCCTTATCGTTACCCTTTCCCCAAAGCTATGGTATCTCCCATTCCAGAACCCCAATTCCCCTCGAAGATCCAAGTCTTTAAAACACAAAAATGGTAAGTGGGGCTGGAACAATGGGAGTGATTCTAACTATGTCTTCTGGGACTTGTTGCTGGTGGGTGGAGGTGGAGGGGCAGGGGGATCGAGGGAGGGCCTGTGATCCTTCTATCACCCCCACTTCCTCTCTGGTTATTTTCAGGGTTCTCTGTCTGTACCTCTGCATCAAACACCCTTCCCCTTCTTTTTTCTTCTTCAGGGGAACTTAGCAATTCGGATCCTTTTAAGGTGAGTAGGGGCTACCCCTCGTAGGTTCCCTCTCAGTATTTGCCTTGTTGTGAGTTGGGTGGGCTTGGACAAGTGGGGATCAGAACGCTAACTAGATGGGGTGTTTAGATCTTGGGTATTCATGTTCTTTGTGGGTCCTAATTCCTTACCCTGGTGCAGTTGGGGTGGAAGAAACTGTTGGAAAACTGCCGGCAATCTTAAGGCCTTGTGACTGAGGGAGGGCCGAGAGGGACTGACTCCACACCCCCACCCTCCCTTTGGCCATCCCTCCTCTAACCTGTACCTCTGGTTCTCACCCAGTATAACAACTCAGCTGGGATCAGCTACGAGACCCTGGGGCCAGAGGAGCTGCGCAGCCTGCTCACCACGGTGAGGGATCAGAGAAGGGGGGAAGCCCTTGGGAGCAGGCAGAGCCACAGGCAGTGGTCGAGGCCCTGGAAGAGGCTGGTGACACAGCAGTGAGGGCATCTAGGTCTCTCTCTTGAATTAGGTTTCCTGGCTAGTGTGGTCTGGGATCGTCTGCCATGGACGCCCTGGGGCCATTTCTGAGCACACAGTCTAGCATTTGTACAGAAAAGAGTGTCTAGTGGCTATAGAATAGGCTTCCCCTGTCCCTCCTTTCAGCTTATATTCCTCTTCCAGCAATGTGGGGTGATTTCTGAACACACCAAGAAGATGTGCACAAGGTGAGCTCAGAACCTAGGAAGGGGGCCAGGGGGCCCTCCAGCGCCCTCACCCTGGGCACGGGTCGGGAGTACCTTGGACTTGAGCAACGGGACTCTCACCCTCCCCCTCCCCTCCTCTAGGCCTTAGGCCACAATCTGGGGCCTCTTCATTCATCCCTTCCCTGTCTGTCCATCCCTCCCGCCTCTGCTGAGGGGAGGGGCTCCACCTGTGTTCCTCAGACTCTCCCTGCCTTGTCAGGGTCTGATCATTCTCTCCCTGCCAGGTCCCTACGCTGCCCTCAGCATACAGATGAGCAGCGGCGAGCCGTGCGGATTTATTTCCTTGGACCCTCAGCGTGAGTGACCCTCCAGGAAGGGTGGTGGGTTGGGGAAGGTGAGGGTGATGGCTAGCATCCCTGAAGCCCTTCTCTGACCTCTTCCTGCCCAGTGTCCTTCCAGAGGTGGAGAGTTCCCTGGATAATGACAGCTTCGACATGACTGACAGCCAGGCCCTGATCAGCCGGCTTCAGTGGGACGGCTCCTCTGATCTCTCACCCTCTGATTCAGGCTCCTCCAAGACGAGTGAGAATCAGGGGTGGGGTCTAGGTAAGTGAGACAGCCGGGCCCCAGGGGCTCTCTGCCTGAAGCGGCGTGCGGGGGAACTTTGCGTTCCCCCGCCACAACCCTCCTCTCAACCCTTTTGCTGCCTTCTTTTTCAGGTACCAACAGTTCCGAGTCAAGGAAAACCAAGAAAAAGAAATCCCATCTGAGCCTGGTAGGGACTGCCTCCAGCCTGGGCTCCAACAAGAAGAAAAAGCCAAAGCCACCGGCGCCCCCAACGCCCAGCATCTACGATGACATCAACTGACTTGGGTACAAGGGGATAGCCTTTGGCTGAGCAGAGCCGTCTCTCCCAACCCCCACCCAGGTGGCACAGCCTGGCAAATGGACGGCTGCTGGGGGTTTGGGCTTGGGAAGCTTGGTGGGCGAGGCAGGCAGAGGATCCAATTATGCACCCCTGGGGGGTGTCAGGGTCTTCTGCGATGGAGCACGAGCCCTCAGCGTGCAGGACTCAGACCTGGACATATTATGCCTTGGACATAAGTTTGGTGGGGAGGCGGTTTTCCTATTTATTCTGTGAGTTACTGGATGTCCAGCTAGGCCAGGGGCCTGACCTGGGCACTGTGCCAGGGCACTGCCGCCCCCCCACCCCAGGAACTGGACTAAGCCCTGCCGAGGAGCATCGTGGCTACCCGGGAGGCCGTGGGTTGGAAGCTGAGCCTGGAGGGGGCCTCCCCAGCTGCCCTCAGCAATGTGAATGGGTCCGGTGCTTGGAGCTGAGGGGCAGGGCTGGGCGTGTCCTGTCTGTGTGCAGAATCCTATCAAAAGCCCCCATCCCAGGGGGAGGCAGGCATGGAGAGCTGTCTGCTGAGGTAGGCGTCCTGAACTAGCGCCGCCTTCCCTGCCCCTCACAGGGGCAGCCCTTTCCCCTCAGTCCCCGGGGGCCTCCTTGGCAGCAGGAGCTGTCCTTTTGTTGTTGGGTGCCAGGAAAGGGCCTCCAGCCTCTACAGCTTCAAGGAACGGGCACGGGGAGGGTAGGAAGAGGGAGCTGTGTATCAGGATGACTCCCCCCCTACCTCTCCTCCCTGACCCAGGGCTGGCGAGGAGTGGGGCCCCAAGGTGAGGTGCTGCTTTATTTGAAATGTTTTCTTACCTCATTCCCTGCCCCAGGAAGGGGCCCAGCCTCACCCTCCTGGGGTGGCCCCATGTTCCTCCTGCCTACCCTGCCCCACTGCCCTCCCGGGGCAGCCCAAGTTCCCAACTGCTGCTTGCCACCCCTCCTCTTTCACCTTGACCAGCTCCAGTTCCTCTCTCGATGCTCCTGCCTCCAAAGCCTGCCCTGTCTCCCCTTCCTTTTGCCGCTTTTAAGTTATTTATTCTGTACTTGTGGTTTGGGGCTCTGAGGAAAATCCTGATCTTTTACCTCTCCCCCCTTGCGAGGAGTGGGGCGGGAAGAGAGGGTGGTCTCTGTGTTCTTGGCTGTCAGCGGAGGGGGCGGGGTGCCATGCCTGGGCAGTGCCCCCCTGCGGGACTGTCGTGCCAGTGTGCCCACCTGCCTGGTCTACATCCTGAAGAGATGTATCATTCAACCTCCACGTGGGCACCATCGCTCCCAGGAACCGAGCTGGAGGACTGCAGTCCAGGTTGGGAGCAGAACTGATGGCCCCAGGGATGGAGCTGACCCTGAACCGTGTTCTCTGGCACTCGCTGGACGTGACCCCTGCCCTCCTCCCAGGAGGAGCCATCCCATATTTGGGTAGTTAGTACCCAGGACTGACCGGACTGATCTGGGTTAGGGACCCTAGAGGGTTAAGGGAACAAGAGATGGGGCTGCAGTACCCTGTCTGGAACCCCAATCTCCCCCTGGGGTGGCTCTGATTGTGGCTGACGCCTGGTTACAAATTGATTTTTAACCCAAGAATTAATGATTATTTTTTAAAAAGCCAAACAGATTTTGGCAGGAGTTAGAATAAAGCCTGGGGCCTGGGCTCCTCCGTTCTCACCCCTCCACAGCCTTCTCCCTCCACGGGGAGGCCAGAGGGCAAGGAGGATCTCAGCCTCCAGCCCGCTCCCAGATGAAGACCTGGGAGCGGGCTGGAGGTGGAGGGAGGAAGGCCGCAGGCCACTCTCCCTTTTGAGAGGCAGTTGCAGCTCAGGCCCTAATACACCCTTTCCCCTCTGGCCTCTCCGTTTCCCCCTTCTGGTTGGAGGAGGGAGAAGTGGGAAGTAGTTTGGGAACTGGTTTGTCCACATCCACTTCCCCATTGTTCCTTGGCCCGCCCTCAGGGCAGAGCCCCCTGCCCAGGCTGGGTAAGAGATGGGCTTGGTCCAGCAGGGACCCTGAGGGAGCAAACCCCCTTCCTTCTGGGGAGAGTGTGCCCCCCTACCATGTAGTTGAACAGGGGCTAGGAGCTCCCCACTCCCTTCCCTCTAACAGCAGGCTGTGTGGGTTTCAATTCCCATCCTTCCCACCCCGGCTAGGTGTTGTCCACCCTGTATCCTATCATGTGTCTGAGTGTGTGGGGGGGGTTCTGTACTAATTTCCATGGCCGGTGGCTTTTCCTTCCATGCATCACTCCCCCCCGCATGCCCAGGGGCCACCCGCCTGGCATTACCGCATGCTGGGGTCATTGGGGGAGGGGGGTGGGGCTCACGCTGTCCTGTGGTCTTGAGATTTTTATTTTTGCATATGTAATCCATCCTGTACAGGTAGCTAACTTTGTAAACGCTGTGTATTCCCCCTGCCCCCATGGCTGCTGGTGTAAATAAACTGCATCTCCCGTTGGTAGCCCGGCCTGCCCACCCTCATTCCCATGTTGCTGTGGGCAGAGCAACCAGCGTTTTCTTCATGTCACAGCAGACTCCAGAGCCACAGAATGGAACTTTATTCAGTCACAGATACTGACCCTCCATCCAAGAGCCCCAGAGGCAAGGGCCTGGGGCCCAGTGCTCCCTACCCAGAGCTGTCCTTGGGGCTGGGCAGGGTAGGACACTGGCTGGCAGCCAGAACTGCCTCTTGCTTACAGCCTTAGGCCTAGGGTAGCAGCAGCTGTGGCCTGGCCTCTCCTGGTGCTGGGGGCTTGGCTTTGTGCCCCAGTCCCCTTCCTGACAGCTCTATAAAGGACTATTAAAAAAAAAGAAAAAAGAATATAAGCAAAGTGCTTTGGAAAAAAGGGAGAACACTGGAAACTGTCCAGAACACAGAGAACACCCTATTCCTGCTAAGGGGTGGAGGGAGAACGTAGAGGCGGCCAGGTGCCCACAGGGAAAGCTGACACAAACTTCACTCCTGCCTGTATGATTTTAGGCTCAAAAGGAGGATGTTCCACTAGGAAACCCAAAGAGACTCCAGGTTCCATACAGAAATGCTGGGGCCATGCTGAGCTGCCCTGGCAGGCAGCCCTGGGGGCAGAGGAGCAGACATGCAGGATAATGGAAAGAGCTAGGGCCATGGCTGGGAGGGAATCCTCAGAGCCCTGGCTCCCTATTGAGCTGGGTGACCAGCTCAGTTCTGAACTTTAGGACCTTAGAAGTGAAGGAAGATGACATTCTCATTTCTACCTGAGTTGTGCTTGCACAGAGGGAATGTCTGTCCCCTCATGGACGTGAGGGGAATGCCCGTGCCTACCTCCTGAGTCCTATGGAGGAGGGCCCACCACATCCTTTCCACCCCTCCCTCCCAGGCCCTTGGGCCCAGCTCTGGCCAGGAATGGGGGGAGGCCATAAAGGAGGAAAACCATGCCTTTCATTTTTCTCCCTGTGGTCCTTATCGTCCATACATCCCAAATACTAGGAAGCTGAAAAAGACAGTGACCCCCACGAGGGAGACTGTGGCAGGTGCTGTGAAGAACTGGCGGTAATTGATACGGAAGTACCAGACCACACCCAGCAGCACCACAAACACAGGCACCATGAGGCTGCCCACACTGACGCCGAGGCTGGGTGGCTCAGTGGCCGAGGGGGCCAGGGAGCTCGAGGGGCCTGCAACAGCTGACCCAGGGGGTGAGCGGTGACAGTGAATCACACAGTTGTCGGTAATGTTCAGGGAACGCAGTGTGCGGGCTGGGTCCTGCAGCAGGCGACCCTGGTAGATCAGTTTCATCTGGCTCTCCTGTCCAGGAAAGTATTTACTGTGAGGGTGAGACAGAAGGAAAGAGGGCGAGGAATGAGAAGGCCGAAAGGCAAGGTGCTGGGGGGTGGGGGAAAATTGCAGGGTGGGTTTCTAAGGAAGGATTCCCCCACCTGCCCCATAGGGACCGCACTTGACGCTTCCCAGCCCACGTACCTCTTCAGAGCACCCACGGTATCCTCTGGCCTGGCCACAGCCAGCTCCTCCGTGTCATTGAGGAATTTGAGCCGCACGCTGATGAGGCTGGGGCTGGGAGGCAAGCAGGTGCCATCCTCTGATCTCACAGGTGCCTCCAGACTGCTGTTTCCTGGGCCTGCTTGTCTTTTGGGCAGGCCTTGGATGTCAAGCAGATGCTCAAGGCTGGGCTCAACACCACCCCCGGCTCCAGGTTCCCCTGTGGGGTCTCCCCCACCTTCGCCAGCCTCTTCAGCCTTCTCATCATTACCCTCTGATGGATGGGGGAGTTCAGTTGGCTCTGGGGTGCCTTGGCCCGCTACCAGATGGTCCACATGCCCCAGGTGAAGGACGGATGTGTCGCCAGCTGACACAATAGTGCCCAGGAGCTGGTTGCTACCGCTGTCTGCTACGTAGGTAGAGAGCCAAGCTAGGACCAAGGCTAGAATCAGCACCACCACACCTGCCACCACAGTCACCTCATTACCCACACCCTCAATAAGGGTGACATCAGAGAGCTCCATGGCCTGGTTGCTGACTGGGTCCACACTGCAGGAACAAAGGGGGACAGTATCAGCAGGGCATGAGAGGTTGCAACCAGGTTTCTTGTTTGTTTAGGTTCTAACTGACCTGGCCCTGAAAGAAAATGCAGTTCAGTATCCTAGAGACACAAACCTAACTCTGAGACCCCAAATCTATAGCTAAGGATTTACTCTTCGCCTCTATTGTGAAATGCTGGCTTTCAGGTTCCACACCCTTCTTCTCACATTCCAACCCCCCAATAAACATGGATCATCAGGAAAATGTTACAGCTTTGTTGCTGCTGCTGTTACTGTCTGTTGCTTTTTTGGGAGATGGGGAAAAACATTTGCTGCTTTCAGCCCTGAGTTTCTCTAGGATTTCTCTCTTGGTAAAGCAACTGTGCTCCCCTGAGATGCCTCTAAGGTGGCCTCAGAGGGACCAAAAAAGCCTGGAGTATTTTATTTGGGAGTTCCTTTGGAGGCACAGTAGAGCCACTCTTGCAAGATTGTGTCATTTGAACCCACTCTCATTGAATCATGGATCGAAATCCAGATGTCAAGAGCCAAAGAATCAACTTATCAAGAGCAAAGTCAGACCACCCCAAAGGGACACCTCTGTAGGGACCATCAGCAGACACTGTGTCTCCTCTGAAATTCTTCTGGCAGCAAAGCAGGACAGACACCAGAAACACTACCCTCCTAGGTGACCATAGGCTCACAACTACAAAACCACTACTTGCATGAAACTGGTTTAGAAAAGATTCCAAAATGGCTCCCACAGCCCATATCACAATCTCCCTTTCTGTAATGTGTTCTTCCTTGACAGTTCCTTAGAAAGGTAGGAAGGATCTCTGTTTGCTCTTTGGAGCACCTCCTTCCCTTGGAGAATCTGCTGCTTTCACAGCTGTCCTTGGGCAAATGCAGTCTGATGATTATCATAACCTGATTGTTCTCACAGTGACTTATCTACCTGCCCATCTCTCCACTAAACTCCTGAAAGATCACATGTATTTCTCTATGTACCACAGTGCCCAGAATAATCCCATAGCAGTTGCTCAAAAAATATTTGTGGAACATACCAACATGTGAATAGTTTTTCACCTGCTAATTTGATATGTGGGCCCTGGAGTCAGGAAAACAAAAACAGAAACCCCAAAACTAATTATAACCTTCGTCTTGCCTCTTACTAGCTCTATAACCTCAATTTTCTTAGAGCCTCAGTTTTCTCATCAGTAAAATGGGGTTAAAAATAGTACCTACCTCATAAGGTTGTTTTGAAGATGACGGGAAATCATCGAAGCAAAATACTTAGAACAGTGCCTGGCACATTGCAATTGTTTAGTAAACAAATAGTACCAATTATTTATCACTCCCACAACTAACCCCTGATGGTAAGAAGGTTGTCATTAACCCTGATTTACAGAAAAGGAAACTGCCGGGAACAGAGGCAAAAACGACTTGGCACAGGCACGGGGAACTTTCGAGGAGAGGGACCGGTTAGGACTCTAGGTTTCCCTTCTCAGAGGCCTTTGCTCTCCTCAACCTGTGAGCGACCCCGATGGCACGGTGAGGAGGGGTGTCCGATCTTGCCTTTCCTGACGCGAAGGCTCCGCGTTTGGGCGGTCCTATTCCCGCGGCGCTGGAGAGGGGTCCGTGGGGCCACTCGAGCCAAAAGGCTGCCTAGTTCCTACTGCTGTACCCAAACCCGTTTCTCCCAGCCAGCGAGGGGTAGAATCGAGTGAGGGGGTCACAAACCATCCACACCCCTCAAACTTCGGGGCGGGGCTGGGACGCTGGGGGCGGGGCTTGAGTACGCAGAGGAACATGGGAAATTAAAGGGGGACTGGACGGGTACTACGCCTGGATAAGGAAGGAAGGCCTCACCTGAAACGGCCAGAATAAGTGTTTTGACTTCGCCAAGACGGCCTGTGGACTCACCTTTCCGTAGGGGCCGGGGGAGGGGCTGGCTAGCCCCGTTTCTACCCAGGGTACGGTCTCTTCCGGCTTCTCCCGGAAGCTGTTAGAACCAGAGACAGGAAGTTCCGCCCCCTTGCCTTACAAGGATGACGAAAATCTACGTAAAGCGGGCTTACGTAAACGTATTCTTTAAATAAAAGGGACAGGTTTCTTCGCGGAAGGAGGGGCGGAGTTATGGTTGGCGGGATCCTGGTCCTCCCAGGGCAGAGCCACGCCTAGTGGGCGGGGTTTACGGAATCAAGGGTTAAGGGGTGGGGCCAGGAGGAAATTAGGGGAGGTGTTGGGGGAAGGGGTGTGGCTTCGCATCTGGAAGTTCAAGTAGGTTGTCACCGCTGGGCAGAGTAGAGCGTCTTTTTCCTCTTCGCAACTTTCTTCTTCCGGCCTTTCTCAAAGCCTCCCGGGCTGATTGGTTTTATTACTGGTCTGCAGCTGGTCTGCCTATTGAGCTCTGGGTTAGCGGAATCAGCCGAGACTGGTCTTTCTGACCTCCAAGAGGGGCTAGACGAGAGGACAATTTAATCACCGTCCGGTTCTCGGAGAATACGGCCCCAGGTAGTGTGGAACCTTGGTAAATAAGGCAAGAAACCATGTCAAAGAAGGCACAGATTCATTGCAGGCTTAGGGCACGGGAAAAGCAGGAGCCCCAAGAAAGGGGAAAATGGTTCAGCTTACAAGAGGGTTTTTGCAATTAAAATTTGTTCTAAAGACCTGTGGCGGGGTGGAGGGATGCTGTTGTTTTCCGGTGAACTATTGATTGAAGTATAAATAATACAGACGGGAAAACTCAAAAGCGAAGAGCTCGGTAGTTTTCACCAACTGAACACATCGGTGGAACCGGGACTCAGATCAAGAAACAGAAAATGACCGCAGAACGGCCCTTCAGTCCTCTTCCAGCCACTAACTTCCAAAGAGTAGTCACTATTCTGATTTCTGCCACCATACATTAGTTTTCTGGCTTTGTATTTTGTACGAGTGGAATCAAACAGT